GGGGGGGGGGGGGGGGGGGGGGGGGGGGGGGGGAGAGAGAGAGAGAGAATATATCAGTCAAATTTTCAGGAACAAAACAAACTCTATATTTGGATGGAAGCTTTTTACATATTAGTGTGTATATAAATAAGAATGTAAAGATACATCATGAAATTTCATCTTCTTTTCTAGCATACCTACAAAGTTCATCCAGATAAGACCAAATTCACAGCAGTCACTGATACTCCTGTACTATTACAAGCCCAGCTCAACACAAAACAGCTTAGTGATGTAAGTGCCTTATTTATGCAAGTGTAGGTGACCCAGAGTGCTTTGTTTATTTAAAATGTCAACATTTACCTGCTTAATTCTCATGGACTTGTCTACCATCCTAATAATGTCATTTTCAAGATTTGTTTAATAAAATGCAAATGAAACTGCTAGATTGAATTGTAGCCTGGAGAAAATGGTGTTAGATAATAATAAAAATAACGAATATTTATTTAATAATTTACTGATTTTTATTGGGAAAATCTTGCTTATTCTTAAGAATCTGTCACATTCACACTAACACTTCATTCCAACTTAAATAAGCAGTGACAACAAAAGCATCCATTTGGGTAGGTAACAAGGCAAGCATTTCCCATTCTTGAGTTTGCTAGTAAAGACTTTATAAAAAGGAAGAGCTCACCCTAACAAGAAAGAAATCAAACAACGATAAGAAAGCTAATATAGAATGATGCTACAGAATTAAAATGAGATGACATCAGAGAGAGTGATGGGATGGGCACTTCAAATGCGGTGGTCTAGGAAAGTCTAAGGCAGGGATGGTTTGACCATGCCAAGATCAGGGGAAGAGCAGCAGTGCTTCTCAAACATTCCTGTTCATGCGAGCACCTGGTGATTCTGTTAAATGGAGATTCTGATTTAGCAGATCTGGGGGAATCCAGCATTCTGACTTTCTAATAAGCTCGTAGGTGATACTCATGCTGTGACTAGTAGATCACACTCTGAGTAGCAAAGTGCTAACTAACACAGCTAAGTCCTAAAGAGTAGCACATTTTTCTCAAGATAGAAAAATGAAAGACAGTTTGTCCTACTAAAAAATGTGTTTTAGTAATACCAATGAGCTCATATGCAGCTCATAGTAGAGAGTAATGGCATCTGTATAACCCAAAAGTCACATCAGTTCGTATGTAACTTTTCCTAATATTTTAATATTTTGTGTCCCATATGGAGAACAACTGCAATTTGAGGTGGTGGGCATGGTGATAGCATTGATCTGATCATCACCTCTTGGACACGGGTGCTGATGGTCAACTCTCTGCCCCATGAATATGTATAATTAAATTTAAAAAGTGTCGTGTCCCAATAAAGAACAGCTGAACATTAACAACACTGATCCAGCTGAACTCTACAAACTGCAGAGGAATGCAGTGCTGTACGCGGTGTCCAGTCACCAATGCTCTTCTTGTTGGCCCAGTTAGGCCACGGTTTCTGTCTTAGAGATTCTTATTACACAGTCCTCAATCTTGTGCATTTTGCCTTTAGCTCCAAAATTCAACAGCCTCATTCCTTCTTTATGCTCCTTTCCTTCCACCTAATATCACCTTTTAAAAATTTTAAATAAATTCCTATGCTTAATATTTTTAATAAGAATTTACATACTTTTTAACTGTACCAGTATTTTATTTAGAATTATTGTTTTTGTTAGTGCTCTAATTACACCATTTTATGAGTTTGGGGTTTTCATGCCCTCCAGGCACAGCCTAGCAGTGTAGATCGCATAAATACAGTATAATAGCATTTACAGTATGGCAACCCAAAGTCTGGTTATACTACAATCCCTAAAAGAGGGAGTGAGAGTTCAGATCTTGTGCTAGACTTTGACTGGATTATCTTTTTGAGGTATTTTTCTAAGAAGGGCACTAAATGCCTTAGCTACATATACTGTCCTACATCAGTTCAAGGAATTTTCTACTCTGAACTGTTTGTATATCCTCTATTGTCTTTCAGTTGAATTACAAAGCAAAACATGAAGGTGAGAAGTTCAAGTGCAATGTACCAGCAGATGCTCCACAGTTTATCCAACACAGAGTCAATGCCTATAATCTGAGTGATGTAAGTACAAAGCCACAGAAACCTATGTTGGGTATGCATGGAAAGACGAAATGTTATAAGCATTTATAAAGACGGGATTAAAAGTTATGCAAGCAAACAACTACTAAAGTTGTTACCAGAGTGTATGTGGAGCTTCTAAGGCCCAAATGCTCTTAAGATTTTTATTTAGCCTGTCAGGTGTCAGTTTCCACAGTTTCTGTTACTGTCAGAGCATTCTCTCAATTACCTCTCTGCTAAACCCTAGAATTTTACAATATCTCTCCTGTGTAAATGTCACATTTTATCTTCTACAAGTGGATGTCATTTTATGTTATCTTTTATACCTCAGGATTGCAGAGTCTTTAGAGAGTTCACGAACATTAAAGAGTATATTATACTTATTTAGTGGGAGGGAGAAAAAAGCTGAATGATACGTAAATTAATAGCTATACAACCATTTGGTAAATATAGTATTTATCAATGAAATGTCTATACATACATATTCTCAATCAGTTTTTTTTCTTTCCTCTATTAATCTATTATTGGTTCTCTATTCAATATTGTTCTTATAATTCCTTTGCTGACACTTTCCCATGCAGAATGCTTATAAGCAAGATTGGGAGAAGAGCAAAGCTAAGAAGTTTAACATCAAAGTGGACGCCATTCCCCTGCTGGCAGCCAAAGCCAACAGCAAGAACACTAGTGACGTGAGTATGGCCTGGGGACCGCACAGGGCAGCCTCAGGGATGCTTCCTGGTGAGTGGGGTCTGGCATGTGTGATGTTTTTTGCAGGTGATATACAAGAAAGACTATGAAAAGAGCAAAGGGAAAATGATTGGAGCCCTCAGCATTAATGACGATCCCAAGATGCTGCACTCCTTGAAGACGGCCAAAAACCAGAGTGACGTGAGTGTCATAAATGTCTTGTTTTCAAGATGGCTTCCATATTAACATACCCAAGGATAGTGGCCCATAAAAGGATTTTATACCCATGATATTCACATTCGCATTCTCACATTCACAACAAACTTCTGGGGAGACCTTTAGAAGTAGAATGATTCCCCAGATTCTTGTACCTCTCACGTTTGAAGAGAGAAATTACTAATTTGTACTTGATGTCCATTTCCCTTTGAAAAATGTTTGTGTTAATATTTAATAGAATATCAATTGCAGTTATCAAAACCTTTTAGAAAAATCACTATGTGTTTTTGTATTTTCTTCTAATTGAAAAATAACTTTTTTTGGAAGAAAACATGAGTCACAAATAAAAAATCTTAGTATAGCTATCATTGCTCTTTATTGGCTTTAGTAATTAGTATTAGCCTAGGTCCAAGAAAAATGCTCCATTGATTATAGGCTCCTTTGAGAATCCAATAAAATATTTGGAAACCTTTATCTAGAAAAAAACTTTTTAAAAATACTTTTTGCCTGAATTTCAGGGAACTCATGGATTCCCTAAATCTTGTCTATGGGCCATATATCATTTTCCAGTTAAAATTTTTGCTGTAGAGAGACAAACATCTACTATTGCAAATTAGAGTGTATACTGTGTTTTAAAAATATTTAGAGAATCTCTTCAGAGTTATCAGAATGTTCAATATAACTTGCAAATATTAATTTCTCATGATGAAAGAGAAAGGCATTTGTATCACTTAATTTAATTTTAACCATGTGTTCATATAATGATCTATGCATACCTTCTTTAACTCATTTTACACTTACTGTATAATCACAGAGCACTTTAAAACATCCAATTCAGTAATTTTCTTATAACTTCACACTGAATTGAGTCAGTATACAGTGCTCATGTATATAATACTATCTTGTTCACTAGTTTCTTATCTCTTTTCAACTCAGAAAGGTTCTAGGTCCTGGTTAATAGCACATGTATCTATCTCTTTTGTTTTTCTTTCCATCACAGAACCCATGAGAACACTAGGCACATAATAAGTGTTCAATATCTGTTCATTGATTGATCTTGGTGATCAAAAGAGATAGTGAATGAGTCATGCTCACAAAATATCCAGGCAAAATGCTAACCTGCAGGTACAGAACATGTGTAGCTTTTTAAAAAGAATCTTTAAAGCTATTTGGATCTTTGACAAGAGAACATGAACAAGAGTTAAAACAATTTAGTAAAACAATTCCACACACCAACTGCTGTTCCAACATTGCTTTATCAGTTTATTCCTAATAAAGACAAATTATATTTTTCAATGTCCTTTCATCCCATCAGAAAGCTTCCACATTTTATTGGCATACACCAGGTCTAGATTTTATAATTAAGTGAGAGACTTGTTCAGTGAAAGTGACTAACCACAAAATACAAAAAGAAAGATCAAGTTCCCTAAGAAAGCTAAAAGGTCAGATCATTTGTGAAATTAATTGCTGCAGAAGATTTATTATGCACATCTGTACTTGCTAACTTGGGTCACTGTCTTTAACATGTATGTGATTATATAAAGATACAGTGAGTTTAGAATTTTCCTAAAGGCAGTGGGTCAGAATTTTTCTGTCAAGGTAATTGGTGAGTGGATATGACGAAGCTGGGAATTGGACCTAATTAGCAACCTGGCTAACCACTCCAGAAAACCAGCCAATGAAGCTGCCTCCTGAGGCCCATCCAGGACATTTGGTTTATGAGAACACTGTACATAAGGGCCAAGGTTACTTTAATGGCTCAGTTTTACAAAATTTTCTCCTTTGGGTTCTCCTAACTGCTGCAATCTGAAGCTCCTCTTAAATTGTTATGAGAATTAAACTTGGTATGAGAAAAACCTTTGGGATTCTCAGTGGGACTTATCTACTGTCAAGAGAATAATAAAGTAGAAAAACTTGTAACTATCCATTTTAAAATGGCTAGAAAGCCAAGAAATTAAGTCTACAGCTCTATTTATAAAATAGTCATTTTATAAAATCAGAGGTATAAAATGATTGTCATGTGATTTTCATTAATTAAAAAATGCTTCTTCATTGGAAAACTCTTCAAAGGTTAGATTACACTAATAAAAGTAACACTCGTCAGTGGTCCTTGAGGAACCCTGCCTTAAGATAAAATAATTCCTGATTGAAGCAGAAGCTATGGCCTGTTCCCACTATCTGCTGCAGCTCTTTGACAGTTGCTCTTTGATCCAAAAAGAAATTTGAGAAGATCTGTCCATGTGTGATTTTCTGGGGGGTTTCAGCGATGTGTAACATATGAACAAATTTGGGGGCAAAAGAACGACTCATGTGTTTGGATCTGTTTCTCTAACTTGCATTTATTGTTTATGAGAGATCTCTGGGCTTTTCTGGAAATCCATTGAGGATTTGTGGTAATAATTGGGAATTTTCTATTCACAGCGTGAATATCGAAAAGACTATGAAAAGTCAAAAACTATCTATACAGCACCTCTTGATATGCTCCAAGTCACTCAAGCTAAGAAATCTCAGGCCATTGCCAGTGACGTGGACTATAAGCACCTCTTACATGATTATAGCTACCCACCCGATAGCGTCAACGTGGACCTTGCCAAGAAGGCTTATGCGCTACAGAGCGATGTGAGTAACCAGGTTTTCTCTATTCCCTATTTGGAAGGTGGAAACTGAAAAGGAATTCCAAACTGAGTAATGTTTTGGGCACTTCTCAGAGGTACCTGCATTGTCCTCTGTATGTAAGCAAGTATATAGTGGGAAAATACCTCTGTGGTTTTGTGAGAGCACACCCATCAGGGTCAGGGAGACCCGGGTCTGGCATGCACTCCATCACTGTTTCCCTTTGGGAAAGTCATCAACCTTGTGGAATCTACAGTCCTTCTCTGTAAAATTGTAATAAAACAAAAAAATTGTTTTGAGGATTTAAGTGCATGCAAAATACTTAGCATGGTGTCAGGCCCTGGCAAATTCTCAATAAACATTCACTGTTATTATCATCACCATTACCATAATCATCACATTCATCGTTATCAATAATTTTTTACATAGATTGCTATTTTGTCTAAAAAACAAATATCTTAAATTATTTGCAGCATTAAGTATTATAATAACTGGGTTTTTTTCTGCAGATCAAAACTTCTTTGGGGCTGGCCGGTTCCCTCAGTTGGTTAGAGCGTGGTGCTGATAATACCAAGGTCTAGGATTCAATCCCTGTACCGACCAGCTGCCAAAATACAAAAAAAAAAAACACCAAAAAACCCTCAAACTTCTTTAGGCAAATTAATTTGTCTGAGCTACACAATTGAATACTTTATCCTAACAATTATATATTTTTAAATGTGGTAAAAATACACATAATGTAAAATTTACCATCTTTACCATTTTTAAGTGAACAGTTCAGTAGTGTTAAGAATGTTCACATCATTGTGTGACCAATTTCCAGAACTTTGTCATCTTGCAGAACTGAAACTCTGTATTCATTAAATAATAACTTCTCGTGTCCTTCTTTCCCTCACCTATGGCAACCAGCATTTTACTTTCTGTTTCTATGAGTTTGACTACTCTTGATACCTCACATATGTAGAATCAGTATTTGGTTTTTTGTGAATGGCTTATTTGATTTAGCCTAATGTCCTCAAAGCTCATCCACATTTTGGCTCGTGTCAGAATTTTCTTCCTTGTTAAGACTAAATAATATTTCACTGTACTCATATACAACATTTTGTTTACCCGCTCACCTGCTGGTAGACATTTATATTGCTTCCACTTTTTATCTGTTGTGAATAATGCTGCTATGACCATGGGTATGTGAATGTCTCTTCAAGATCCTGCTTTCAATTCTTTTGGGTATACACTCAGAAGTTGAATTGTTGGGTCACTCAATCATTTTTAATTTTTTGAGGAACTGACATCACATTTCCATACTGGCTGCACAATTTTACATTCCCACCACTAACAATTCTATTGTATGCATTGTTATGTTTTTATTTGTTTAATTTTGCTATGTTTCTTTATTCCAAATAGGTTGTAAGTCTCTCAAGGGCAGGAACCAAATGATTTCTTGATTTTTTCATTCCAGTTAAAAGCCCCACACTAAAAAAACAACAATTTGAATTTTGTATCTAGAATGTAAGTTTCAGGTGCTATACCACCTAAGGCCAGACAACAAGGGTAAAGTAACTGTTCCCAAAATAAGACCCATTTCAAATAATAACCGCTCCCTTAAGCAAATTATTTTAAAGTGTTTTGTTAGCCAACATAGAAACACTTTTAAGTTGACCAGTACACATGGAGGGCAATGTGTGCAAACACAAGTAACTACTACCAAGTCTCATCTAACTAGAACACAAGCAAAATTATTCACCTGCGATGTGGCCTTCAGTCCTAATTTGGCCACGGAAACATAATACTTATCGGGTTCCAGGGAGCAAACATCTCACATTTGATTATCTAAATTTAACAATTTTATTTATTCTTTGAAATACAGCTTTGAATTGAGCATTTTCCAGATTGGAATTAGAGTTCCACATATTCCCATTCATTTGGAAATGAAGAGAAAATGGGACATATACCAGTTAGAAGAAAACAAAAACCCAAGGGCTATTAAAATCTCTCACCCAAGAAATGTTTAAAATAACCTTAATGTATGGAGTAAGAAAGCTGGTCAGAAATCTTACAAATATCGTTTTGGGTAAAACATTAATGATTTTATGTAATAAGGATGACACTGAGCAAAGAAATGTAATCTTTCTCTTGGCATTTTAGGTCGAATACAAAGCTGACTACAACAGCTGGATGAAAGGTTGTGGCTGGGTGCCTTTTGGGTCCTTAGAAATGGAGAAGGCCAAGCGAGCTTCAGACATTCTTAACGAGGTAAAGCCATAGGGCTTGGCCAAGAGAGATTTGTGAATGTGTTGTGTTAAAATTCTCAGAACCATGGGAAGGGCTTCCTTTACTGCTTTATTCTCTAGTCACTATGGCTGAGGAAAAAAACGTTACAACATGCACGAATTATCCATGTAGACAAGCATAAACCTTTTTATTACCAAAATCATTTATGTTAACCATTCATGATGGAAATTATTTTTAACAACTTATCAAGATATAATTTGCATACCATGAAATTCACCTGAGTGGACACATTGAAAAGTCTTAATAAATTTATATCATTGTGCAGTCATCACCACAATTATATATATATATATATATTTTTTTTTTTTCCTTTTTGTCTTTTTTACTGACCGGTAACGGGATCGCAACCCTCGGTGTTGCGCCCGCACCTCGCTCAGCCAGTGAGCGGGAACCGGTCTCCACATGGGATCCGAACCCTCGGCGGGAGCACCACCGCACTCCCAAGCGGCGCACTCTCCAGTGCGCCACCGGGCCGGCCCACACAATTATATTTTTAAATGCTGCTAGCACCCTAAAAAGTTCCTAAAAAAATTCTTGCTCCCATCTTCAGCCCCAGGCATCCACTGATCTGCTTTCTGTCTCTAAAGTTTTACCTTTCCTAGAAATTTCTTTTGTGTCCAGCTTCTTTCACTTCACATGTTTTTGAAGTTCATCCATGTTTCTGCATGTGCTTGTAATTCATTTCTTTTTATTGAGTAGTACTCCTTTTTTATAGACATACCACATTTTGATGATTTCTTACTGGTTGGTGGACATGTGGATTATTTCCAATTTTTGGTGATTATGAATAATGCAGCTATTATAGAAATCTTCTTTGAAGAATTATACCCTGTCATATTCTGGATGACTTTGAAGTAGTATATAAATTATTCAGTCTAAGAAAAAAATGGTGATGCTCTTGAGGCTGGTAAAGCAGCTAAGTTATCTGTCCATCCTCTGTCAACAGGAGAAAATTCTCACACTTGTCAGGTGAATATATCATCAAGGAGGGTAGACTATATAAAGGACAGAGATGCTGAGGATGGGTTGTCTCCCACACTCAAGTTTTTGTTCTTCTTGTTATTTAGTGCTTCTGTTTGTTTTTGGTAAAAACTATTTTGTCTACTCAAAAGATGTTTCAGAAAAAGTCCTTCTGGGTTGATCATTTTCAGAAGTCTGAAGTTGAAAGAGTGATGTTACTATATACGCAAAAATAGGATGTATAATATGCACAAAGGAAGAGGACTGGGAAAATAAATAGAGAAAAGTGTAGAAAGAAGGGTAGCTAGAAGTTGCCAACTCCCAACTGGGACACCCTCCCAGTGTCCCCTCTCCTGTGCTTCTTCAGCACTTTAGCGATAACCTATGTACTTACCACATTAAGGCCTGGAAAGCAAAAGATCTGTCTCTCTTATTAATGGTCCCTTGCTGTTGCTCTCGTTCCTCAATTCCTCCTCCCTCAAATGGAGTAAAGGGAATTTCTTTACTCCGGTTGCTGATAAAGGGACAGAAAAAATGAGATTCCTGAGAACTTGTTAGTGTCATGCAAAGACATTCCAAATATCCTTGCTTGCTTTTCTGTTCATCCTTTAGAAAACTCTTCGATGTTTCTTGATTCTGGTTAGCTGAGAACATCTTCTTTCACATCATAAGCAAGAAATGAAAAGAGTAGTGTGTCTGGTTCCTGAGAGTTGTATTGGTCTGTCTTGTTCTGAGCCATCCAAAATTCAACTGATTTTTTTAAACATTGACTTTTGTATTGTATTTATTTTTTCTCCAAGCCGATAAAAAATCTAGTATTTTTGCATTTTAAAATTAGGAAAAATCTTACTTTGTCCCTCCAAAATAAGTTTCAAAGATTTTGATATATTAACCTTCAGTAAAAAAATATGATTGTTTTTCTCATTTTGATTTGACAAACAGAAAAAATATCGCCAACATCCAGACACACTCAAGTTTACTTCAATCGAAGATGCTCCGATTATAGTACAGTCTAAAATTAACCAGGCCCAGAGGAGTGATGTAAGTGTTAACCCTATCTGTATTTTAATAAATGTTAACTGATAAGAATATATTTGTATTTCAAGTGTACTAGTTATTATGAAATCTAAAGACCCTCAGTTAGATGAACAATTGTATAATTCCCCAGCTGTTATTAATAAAGCATACCTAATTCATATCTTTGCAGTAACGTATGTTGTGCCAACTGTCCATTTAGCCATTTGACATCTCTTTCTAAGGAAAAGACAAGAGAGATTTCTCTTAATGACAAGAAAAACTACAATCCTATTTCTAGGAAAGACCAGAAAGAATGAATATAGGCACTACCTCAAATGGAAGATTTAAGTCAGAGCTACGATAAAAATCATGTACAGTTAAAATCACCCCTAAGTCCCTTAATCACCCATGAAGTATAATATAGGTGGTTGGTGTATTCCATCCTATTAGCCTTTCCTGTGCTCAAGAAAGTGTTTGCAGGTTAACATTTTCATTGGGACACCTCCCTGGGCTGATTGCCCCTACCTAGGTCCAGAGGTTCCTAGTGCATACTGAGGGATCTTTGCCAAGACAACCAGCACCAGCACAAGACCCTGTGCAACTGCATATGTGACCCTGAAGACCTACAGATATTTGCAGTCAAATATGGGGACGGCACAGAGTGCCTTTCCCAAAACCACCTCTGTGAAATATGATCCACCTGAAGTTATTTTCCTGTGCCTTTAAACATTTGTCTCCACTTTATTTATTTTTATTTGTTTATGCATTTTTTTTCTCTTCCAGATTGCTTATAAAGCCAAAGGAGAGGAAATTCTTCACAAGTACAACCTGCCCGCAGACCTGCCCCAGTTCCTACAGGCTAAAGTGAATGCCTACAATATCAGTGAGGTGTGTGTGGGGGACTCAGAGGCTGATGTGCATGTCCAGCCTTTACTAATGTGGCCTCTGAGTTATATTCAAATGATATTTCTTTTTCAGAATATGTACAAAGCAGACTTGAAAGACTTGAGCAAGAAGGGATATGACCTGAGAACTGATGCGATTCCCATCAAAGCTGCCAAAGCCGCCAGGCAGGCAGCCAGTGATGTAAGTCCAGCCGAGGATGCATGTGTGCAACTAGAAAATGTGGGCAGGTGGACTTGGGGTCTGACAGCTACCCAAAAGTCACCAGGTCTGCTGTCCCCAACTGGGAGCAAGTCTGGTTGTAAACTATGCAGAAAAGAAAGTTCCCTAAACAAATCTGAATTTTCTTGAGGGGGAAAGGTTTGTATAACCTTCTACTGATCAGCTGCAATCAAGTCCCCTAATTTAAAATTCTCATCTGTATTTCTGCACAAATTCAGGTTACTTCTTGTTTGGAAATAAAGAAGCGACTTCCCATTTAAGTTATAATCGCCTTCTAATGGTGAAATTTATCTCAAAACTTTCTTAATTTATGTGATTTCCCTCTTTCCCTTTCTTCTCTCTTTTTCCTTTATTACTTCTACAGACTGGTGAGTTGGTCTTGAGTTTCACAGCCTCTAATAATCAGTCATTAAGTTCCATTAAAGTTAAGAATTTTATTTCTTATCCTACTCTACTTTAGCCCAGATGTGAATGAAGTCACTTTGCTCTTTGAGATTTAAATAAAATTATCTCACCCACCCCCCACACCCTGCAATTGTCCTATATGAACAGGAATCCCCTCCCTGGGATTTCCACAAACACTCTGAGGTTTCTCTCTTTCTTACCACCTCTGGATTCGGGTTTGGTGTGGCTGAGCTCACCTGGGCTCCGTTCCAGAATCTACTTCTCTTCTCTGCACAACCCTGAGATGGAACACAGCCTTTTCCTGTTGGTTTTCCTGAAAATCCCAAGCACAATTTTATGGATTGTTTGAAATGAGGTTTCCATTGCACCTATGTAAATGTGATGATTGAATAACAAATGTCTGTCCTAAAAAGCCCTTCCACCCAGAGTTTCTCACTGACCCCCTTCTCTATGCATGCTCTCCTGCAGACACCCCCCTTACCACAAACCTTCCCTCACATCTCTGCTTCTCAGTTTCCCCTGATCCTCTCCAGGTCTCCCCATGGAAGCTCAACACCCTCACCTTATTATTCAGAGCCAGTTAGTGTTTACCCACTACCGGCTCTGGGTCTCCCTCTGAATACCCAAGGACTAATTAAAATTCTGCTACTACTACTTAAATTCTGCAACTAATCAAATAGCCAGCTGCCCGGGGCTCTAGCAGCACAATATAATTGGTAGAGATTGTGAAATATTTATCTTTTCACTTTTCTCTATCCATGTCTAAGTGGAAAGAACAATGTAGAGATTTGGTTTGTCATATGAGTTACGAAAATGCTCCCATCCCAACCTCTCTCAGGTGGGCAGAAGAAGCTACAGACAATCAAATGGGCTCTAGATAACATTTTTATTTTGCCAGGCTAATTTCCAAGTATATACACATGAATAGCTAATTGTTTGGGTATTAATGTACAGTAATTTCTGGGAAGCTCAGTTACTTTAAATTACAGCTTCATGGTTCAGTGAAATTTTCAAAACTACATTTAAAGTATGGCCACCTTTGTTTCCAATAGGTTAATTACAAAAAGGATTATGAAAAAGCTAAAGGGAAAATGGTTGGCTTCCAAAGTCTCCAAGATGATCCTAAACTAGTTCATTATATGAATGTGGCCAAGATGCAGTCGGACCGGGAGTATAAAAAAGACTATGAGAAGGCAAAGACCAAATACAATACACCCCATGATATGTTCAATGTCGTGGCAGCCAAGAAAGCTCAGGATGTTGTCAGCAATGTCAACTATAAGCATCCTCTCCATCACTACACCTACCTGCCTGATGCCATGGACCTGGAGTTGTCTAAAAACATGATGCACATAAGGAGTGATGTAAGTGGCATTGAGTCCACAAGAAAGCCCCCCTTTAGGTTCAGAGCCTGTCATCAGAGAAACCACCACCCGGGACCTCACTCCTCTTTTCTCCCATTGCTGTAGAATGCTTACAAGGAAGACTATAACACCTGGATGAAAGGCATTGGCTGGATACCTATCGGCAGCCTTGAAGTAGAAAAAGTTAAAAAGGCGGGAGATGCCCTGAATGAAAAGAAATACAGGCAACATCCAGACACACTCAAATTTACCAGCATCGTGGACTCCCCGGTTATGGTCCAGGCACAACAGAACACGAAGCAAATCAGTGATGTGAGTACAACGAAAGAGAGAGGGCAGAGGATAGGGAGGGAAGATTTTTAAAAAAATAAACATCAGCTCCACATTTTTATTCTTTTGGGCCAATATCTTTTCATTTTTAATTTATTATTTTGTTTATTTAATATAAAAATAAAATTATAACTATCTTTAGTTTGGGCACTAACACTTTCTTTTTCTTCTATCTTGCTTTTTGCCAACTTTAAAAAATTTTTCGTTTTGAACTGCCTTTGAAATACTGTGCTATTGGATAAATTTGACGAGGTGCAAAAAATTCTATTCTAATACCACACCCACACCCACGCACCCACCCAACTACCCCCCCACCCCCCAGAATTTAAACTTCATTCTCAGACGCTTTATTGCGGCAAATTCATTGTATCCAATTCTATGTTAAATTGCTCATAGTTGCTCCTCATATGTAAAACAATACAGGAAAATAATGCATGTGAATATAAGTTTTTGCTTCTCAGAATTCAGCCTACACAATTATTATAGAGACTTTCTAACTTATGTCTTGGTGAAGACTAGTATTGTTTGCCTACCTGTCCATGAGCAGGGTAGATGCTCTGGCTAAAGTCAAAATTTCTAAAGGAAAGTTTGGTGAATAGAAGAACAGTTAAGGAGACATCAAAAGTATTTGCTTGTTAATTCATTTAATGAATGTTTTTGAACACTTGCCATGTGCTAGGCACTGTATTATGTGCTGATGGATAAAGATGAAATAGATGGGGGTTGGTGGGATGTAGGAATTAATAAGAATATAGAACAAGAGCACAAGACATGGATATAAACAGAGCATGGTCATACAGAGAGATGAGCACTGCAGGACAGGAATGTCAAGTACAAGGGACGTGGGTAACTGCCTACCAGAGTTGCCCTGGTAAATTAGGTAAGGGTGCATTCCTGGCAAAAGGAACAATATAAAAATGGTCAAGAAGGGATGCATGAAAGGACAGTGAAGGGCTCAGGGTTGTAACCCTTCATTGAGGATCTCGTATGCTAGTTTGTAGAGTCTGGGCATTATGGGGTAGGTAACAAGAGATGTTGAAAATTTTTAATCCATAGAGTTGCAGTACTCGGTCTGTTTTAAAAGATAACTGGTAAAAAGTGCTGAGACTTTGGAGAGGGGAGAAACTGTGGGCAAAAAGA